AAAAAAAAAAAAATTTACAAAACCGAACGCTACGAGAATCGAATTTGCGAAATATTTTATAGAAAAAGAATAATAAAATAGAGTATGATGAAAAAATTAATTGCACATCGTGATATAATAGTTGCGATTCTAACACGTTATGCAACTCGTAATCGTGTCGCAATCGCAAAAATATCTTTCTTGTTAACAAATAAGTGCATGCGATTTTATCTTTTTGTAAAGATCGTCTATTTTTATTGTTGACAATTTTCTCGCTTAAATAAATGATATTATTAATAAATACATACAAAAAAAACATGCAGAATTTTTTCATTATTGAAACCAATCTTATTCAATTTGAATAAATTTTTTTCTTTGCCTATCAAAAATTATCCAATAGTTGTAGTTTAACTTCGATTGCTAAAGAAAACTTACGCAGTTAAATGACAATTAAAATGATCACACGAAATGACGAGACAGTTATTATTAGCAAAGTCAGTGACGTTGATGTTAATCAGTGCTGACATTACTGGTTTATACAAAATTTATAGATCTGAATTTTTTATTAGGAATCATTTTAAAAACAATTTTAAACAGTAAGGTCGAGGCTCCATATTTGGGAACTGCCGATATAAACAAATTAATCCACTTATCCTAGACGATAGGACCAATGTTTTAACGAAGGTTCAGCTACTCTTTGAATATAAAGGAAATTACCTGGAAGAATTAAAATTATAGAAGTTTTTCTACTTTAAACATCATAGGAAAATTGAGGGAAAGCAGAGACTTAAAATTATTTAAAATTCATCATCTCTTTTGCAGATAAGATTAATATTTTGAAGAATAAACTTTTAAAATCTTTTAAATATGCGAAATGAAGAGCATTCAAATGCATTATGATAGGAAAGTGTCCTTTATATGACTAATTAAAAAAAACTTTATAAATACTGTCTAACTGGATTACCATTTTTTTCCAGATCTGATCTTTCGAACTCAACACTCCGCTAATTAGATAAACATTTTGACGTACTCAGTGGTTTAGGCTTATCCATGAGACAAAAAGTATTATTGGATAAACTTAGATGCCCGATTTCGTCAATGTTTAGTTAATTAGCGCGATGTTGAGTTTCGAACATTTAATTCGATGTAAACATATGACTCCACTAAATCTTCGTTTTTTCCCCAATATCTCTACTCAGTAATCAAAGATTTTATCTGGATGCGTTCAATAACGATGCTGTGGTCGACGATGTCCAGGAAATTCGATAATTAACTGCATGGAAAAGTCGTGAATGTGAACCTTCATATATTTAATGTGATTACAAATCAGCAAGTGTTGTCAATAATAAAATAAAAATTAAATAAAGTTTAAATAAAATTTTCATTTTATTTAAATTTTGTTTAAACTTTAAATTCCGGTGAAAAAAACAATTCCACGAGGATTTGCAGAATTTTATTTTTTTATAAATTTAGGAAAATACCACGTTGGATGACAAATCATATTCCTTACATTTTTCTAACATTAGCTAATCAATTTAAAGGAAATTATCTAGCTCATTGACATTTCAAAATTTCAAATGATCTATATAAATACACGAGAATCGAAATTTTTAAATAATTGTATTCATATATTTTAGTAAAAGTATTTAGAATGTTTGATACTTTTATTCACTACAATTAATAAATATTTAGAGACATTATAGAAGTGATTGTTAATACTTTAACGAATACAGTATTTCTAAATAATTTATCGAAAATAATGTATTTTAATAAAATAAAACTGTATTAAAGTACATTATACCAATTACAATACCAAAATCCGACAGGAAGATATTAAGAGGATGGATTTTGTTACAGTTTTAGCACAGTGAAAATCGGATATTCGCTTTATTTACTTGTCTAAGATATGCTAAACCGATCATTAAATTAATTTTGCTATTATTTGCTTGGGTGATTAAAAATTACCTTATAAGAGAATATTCCGAAGATTAAAATTCTAGTGTGTTGTCGCTTGGTTGTCCAGTTTTTGTCGATTTTTACTCCTTTGCTGACAGCTTCACTGTCAATTAATGCTGGGCGTGAAGACTTCAAGGTTATGCGCTGTTTTCATCCGGAAAATTAGATTTAAATATATTTTGATTTTNTTGCTGACAGCTTCACTGTCAATTAATGCTGGGCGTGAAGACTTCAAGGTTATGCGCTGTTTTCATCCGGAAAATTAGATTTAAATATATTAGATTTAAATATATTTTGATTTTTTAAAACTAAATATTAATCACGCAATAACTTATTAAGGAAAAACGGTTTGATTAAAATGAATTCAAAATTAGAAATTGTAACATCAAATTTATATATTTTTTTAAATACAAAATTTTAATTTGCATTCTGAAGAATGATAAAATAGTAATTAATATGTGTTTGAATAATTTTCATGAAATTTTTTGGCGAATGAGATAAATGCAGTCTAGCAAAGAGGGGAACGAGGGGCATTACAAGAGGAATTCTTTGTTAGATATCGACAATTTAAATGTAACTTATCATTAACTAATGATTACCAAATCGAAAAAATTACATCTATATTAATGAAGTTGAAATCTAGGCCGAAATAACATTTCTGCCAATGAAAAAACTTTTTTATTTTTTATATTTTGTTTATACAAGAGTCGAAAAAGCTGTAAGAATATGAAATGTTTGGTATTGTTTAAAGTTTATCGTTGCCATTATAGCGAAGATGGTGTGATCTATTATTTCGGTCACGATAGCTAATCATTTACGAAGCCAACCAGTTTCGTTCTACTTAAACCTGTTAATGATCTTTGGGATAACCTTCTTCGAAAATTCCTTAAATACTGTATCAATTTATAATTTTAAATTATTTAATATATACAAAAATATATATATTTTTCAATATTAAGCAATATTAAATGTTGCAACATTGCAATTAACATTTATTTTCGATGATTTCTTACGAAGAAATTAATTGCGTCAATTAATAGTTTTAAAAATATCATTTTTAATAATACGACTACAAAAAAAAAGAACTATTTGTAAGGATAGGCTTACCAGATTGATCAGTTTTTGCATCAAAATGATCATAAACATCATTCTATAAATTAAAATTTAGCAATTTATTTTATTAATTCGTATTAAATCTAATAGAAAAATCGGGTCTTACCCTCAGTTCGTTGACTCGACGTCCAAAATAAAATGAAATTAAGGAAGACTCGTTCGACATTAGCCATCTGCTGCAAAACTCAATCTGTCACAAATAAAGATGTATTTATAAGGATAAAGCTAATCATACGTCTTAAAATATTTGCTATAGAAAATTTTCCGCACAGAAATTTGTTAGCTTAGATAGCTTTTACGTTTTTATGCAGGCTTTATGATAATTCTTCTCTGTTTAACCTATATACGTATAACTTAAATATGTATAAATACGTGGAGGTATAGCTTAAACTGAGTATGGTATTCGGCATCTTCGAAATGTCAAGAATGAAACCAACGACCGCTGATCTTCCCACAGAAAACACGGATAGCTTTCACTCTTATAATACCCTAATAAAATAACAAAAAAATAATAATAGCAATTTCACAAATTACATTATATATAGAAGCGAATTATTGTTTTGATTCTGTGAGAAAATATAGGCTAAAGACGGAGAAACGATGCTGCTATTTACCCTCATTTCAACACTTGACATTATACAGAATATCATTCAGGTCAAAGGTCGGACTGGTTTCCTTTTATTGTTACGACCTCCCGAGAACGAAGATAACTTACGAATGTCCATCTAACGTAGAAAGTTGACGTGACTCTGCCTCACACCGCTAAAGTCACGCGTTCGTATAATCTAGAACAGAAATTTTGCCTACTACACTACTTAAGAATAAGAAATTTGAGAAGAAAGAACATTCGAACTGTGTCATTCTTATACATTAATTTCATATTTAATTATGTAATTAAATAAAAACCCCTTTAAAGATAGTCCTACATTAATTGATTATAAAAAAAACCTGTATCATTTACGAAATAAATTAATGTAATTAATACATATAGGTATAGGTTAATTGTTAATTTTTTAAAAACTCATTTAAAAAAATAAAAACCCCCTTTAAAATAGTTTATTATTCAATTAATAATTTAGACATCCGTTTAAGGTCTTTCGTTCGATCAGCATCTATAGAAAGTGAGAACATGTTCCAGATAAGTTCCAACAAAGACAATAAGAAGCTCCGATAAAATCGTAATCACGTACAATAAAATAATATTGTTTTTTATTTGTAGATGCGATAAAGAACATTTATGTTAGAGAATAAACCTTCGCTACTAAATCGATAAATATGGCAAAAAAAAAAAATTTTAATTCGATGAATAATCCAATTAGAAAATTAAACTTTTAGTAGAATAATTTCGAGAATAAAATTTAATTAAATGGTTTAATTGCTTGGAAAGGTTATGTAGTGAAATTAATGTAAATCCGTAAAAATTAAACTGTATAAAAGTAATTTAAAATAAAACCTACGATTAAATTGTCATTTGTAAATATCTAAAATAAAAAAAAAATCAATAGGATTGTAGGTCTTCTCCTCGTTCAAGTTCCGTACGAAAATTAAGTCGAAAAGTCAAGATAAAAGAAATATTTGGGGTGTAATATAATTCTATACGGTCTAATAAATATTTTTCTTGTTTTAAATTGAATTAATTCAATTACAAGAGCCATAAATCTTGAATATAACTATTTTCATCTATTGTTTTCGTTTCAATACGAAATCATTTACAATATGTAATAAATAACACAGATTACATTCGACAGACAAAATGAACAGTTTATTATATAAGAAGGTAAGGCTGACCTTCAAACTTTCGAGATTTGAACCCAAATTTACGGTACTATTTTCAATTTAATAATTACTGCCGTTGTTAAGAAAAGACAGAGAGAAATCTTAATTAGAATGTCTTCTAATTAAGATCTGTTTCGGCTTAACGGTCGAGAAAGTCTTTTCATTGAACTTCACAGTTAACAAATTGAGAATTGATGACTATTCAACAATTAAATGTCACTCGATCGAAAAGTTTTAACTATTCGGAAATTAACGAACTGCCAGAGATGATCTCTCGAACTGGTAAAATTTGGACGGATGTGGGTCATGCGCGGTAGGATTTCACCAACTTAGGTTCGGTCAAGCGGTCGAAAACTATGCTCCTCAACCTGTCTAACGAGTTTCCAACAGGTAGGAAGTAGATCCCACCGAGCTGCGTGCCATTGGACGTCGGTGCTGACGTCGACCGTGCCACTACAGAGTATCGAGGTGGCAGGTCTTCTCCTCGTTGTGACTCACTTTGGTCGTCGTTGCTCGTTTTACTAACCGACAAATCCATGTGAGAGATTAGGACTTAAAACTTTGGTGCTCCTGTGAAAGCCGGACCATGGATCCGAAGTACGAGTACACGTCCGAAGCCACCGTCTATCATGCGAACTATATGAAAAACTCGAAAGCCATCGGAGTGTTGTGGGGTGTGTTTACTATCTGCTTTGCCATCATAAACGTTGTCGTGTTTGTTCAGCCCCATTGGTTGGGTGACACTCAACAAAGCAAAGGAACTGGATATTTTGGACTGTGGCAAGCTTGTCGAATGGTTCAAGATGGACAAGATGTCATCTGCGAGGGGCGGTTAGACGATTTCAGCTCCATTCCCTCTCCCGCTTTTCGTGCCGCTACCGTGTTCGTAGGCCTTTCTGTCGTCATTATCTTACTCTCCATCTGCTGCATGTTATTGTTCTTCGTCTTTCATTCCTCGACGGTCTTTCATATTTGTGGATGGATGCAAGTTTTCAGCGGTAAGCACTTTTAGTTTTTGATATTAATATAAAAGTAAAATTCATTTTCGAGTTGACAAATCGCGAATGACTGGCGAAACAAAAGTCTTTACAACTTAAAAATATTTGACAAATAATGAGATAAAAATGATTTAATCTGTGTTAAAACTATTTTGCAATCGAACAAACATTTTTAAAGTTGTTTAGTAATACTTATTGTTTACTCATTAATCGACGAACGGGATAATTTTCGCTCTCTCACTTTGCAGCTTGTTGTCGAAGTTAAATTCTAATTAAATCGGTATAAATGACTCAAATAGAGGGAAAATACGACGATTTCGTTAAATATTTACAAGATGAAACTGAAAATACCATAAAAGTTTTACTAATACGCTTGGTTAACTTTCTCTACTTGAAAAAATTTCCCATTTTTGGGTTTGGTCTTGACATTTTAGGGTTCAGAATGAAATATTTATTAGTCATATTCGAGTTTTAATTGTTCTTATATATGTATATATATATTTAACTTTAAATTATAATTGTTTACTGTTAATAAATGTACCGTACATATATACACAATTGTTAATTATCATCTAAAAATAGATTTTAAAGTAAAATCAAGGCTCCAAAATACAATGAAACTGGAAAATAAAAATATAATGATAGTGGAGCCAAGAGATAAACAAACAAAGAGGAAAATATCAACTCATCAGTTAGGAATTTCAACGTGCAGCAATCATTTTTCAAATTTTTGTATTCGCGGTAAAGATGCTGTCCGACTAGTTTTCTTTGTTGTATTGTCCTTCGCGGCTGTATCAAGTGCAAAATTATCTAGTATCACATTCCGGAAAAATAATTACCACAAATATATTCCATAGAGGCTCGGCCGACATAACATAACGTGACAAAATATATTTCTAAAAGAGGAAAATAATAATAATTCGTTTTTTTAAAATGTTTCAACATCATCATGAAATAAAATGATTGAAATCCCCAATAATAGTGTTTCATAACCTAAGTAGCTTATTTCGAATTGCAATTTTACTCTTAACTTTGGCATGAGAACATTTTCTATTCTATACGCTGCGATATTCTAAGCTTTCATTCATGTCCATTCAACCTTATCTTAGTGGCATCGCGGGAGCTGGAATCGTTATTTCCGGTAGGGTCTTTCTACCGGTGGCCCGTTTCTCATCGGGGAAATTTGTTAAAGGTCATTAATGTCACCTATTGGCACATTTTGCGCTTTGTGAGTCCAATAAATCTATATTTAGTTTTCATTTCCTTTGAGAATTTTCTAATTGAGATTTTAGTTCAAAGGAAAACGGAGGATCAAATTCTATGTTACATGAATCAATATTAAAATTTTATTATTGGAAATTAGATTGATGTTGGATACATTTTTTTAAAAAAATTAATTAATTAATGTTCAGGGAATTTCGAATTACGTAAATCGAGTTCGTTTATTTTTTACGAATCACGTCAAAAAAGTTGTCTTAATTTTTTTTTTCTGTCATTAAAACAAAAGGAAGCAAAATAGTTTATTACCCAGTGAAAGTCATCTGATGCTTTTGGTATTTTTAACGCCCATTAAAGACGAGTTAGGTGTGTTCATGCAGTATGTCCAAGGTCTAAAAGGCGGAACAACCATTCGTGATTTCGCTTGTCCTACTTGTCCGCATTCAAATACTTTATTCTTTATTTAATCGAGTTTAAATCGAGATACTGTATATATATATATATATATATATATACACAACACAAGTGATCTTGAATGCCATTTATCGTCTCATCCAAATTTAAATCGTCCACACTAAATATATCTAAGAAATTAAGGAAAATGGCGAGTGGTTTAATCCATTATCGATTTATTTATAACGCGATAATCACTTGTGGGAATAATTAATGGATTCAGAAGATCTAACAGCTATAGATAATTTTGGTACTTCCTGCTACGATTTTTGTGTCAAGGAACGGAAGTGAGGCGCTTTTCTTATCCCGATCTCTGTCTGGAACGAACCTGTTTCATTCACTTCCATTCATATTGTTTATTATTCGTCTAAGTACTGGATCTTATCAGCTAAATCAATTCATTCCGAGTATATTTATATATAATATTTATGAGAGAAACTTGCACCCTTAATTACGGAAATTCGTATACCACCTCTTAACAATATTATTGTTTTAAAACTCCTACGCGTTACATTCGATATTTCGACAGACTCGAAAGAGAATGAAAGCATTTCAGCATAACCTACAAACGGTTGATAATAGAATTTTATTTACCAAGTAAACAAGCTGCTCAGCCTATTTATAGTGTAAAATAAGCATACATTCCGCAGTATCCCATGAGAAATAGGTCATAATCAATTCGGTTATTAGATCTATCTATTATTTTCTGTCGATTCTCGACTTTACATTGAAAAGTTTCGCACGACAGACCTATAATTTATATTTATATTTTTTTTCCACCTGAAAATATTTTTAATCTTCATATTTTCTTCAATAATTTGTTATTTTAATCGAAAGGCGACCGTGATAATTAGCTACTCGACAAGTTTTTTCTTTCCTCTATATATAACATAAACGAAACTCGCCCGAACTATATCGTAAATAAATTCATTAATATCCACTCCTTTTACATTTATTATCCGCTTTAAATCGGGTATTTAATTACTATCATTTTATTTGTATTATTCAATTGAAATCGAAGGAATAATCGGCATTTTTATGAGGATAATTAATGTTTAAAAGCGTCGAATAGACAACTCCACCAAAAAGTACAGGTTATGTTAGTTTTACTTCTATTGTTTAAGTCAAGCATCGATTTACGAAATGTATATTTATATAACTTACTAGCCCTATCGTAAATATGATAAAATATTCACAGCTGTAGAATAATTCCACATTTAATTCCATTAGTTAAAACAATTCTTTTTAATTGCCCTGGGGGACGATAAACTGCACACATTCCATTGTAATCGGGCTTAGTTTTTTTCACTTTTTTTCTTATAAACGTTGCTTTGAACTTATTCGATCTATCTTATTCTGTCATAAACTTGTTTGTAGAATTAATAGCCTTTCCCGAGTTCTAAATTAATTTAATACATATTTAAAAGTTTTTAAAAGTATCTCGTTCAAAGTTTTTAATAACTATTGAAGTAGAACAGAGATAAATGCTACCGTTGTCTTCGACAGTTCCATTAAGTATACTTAACAAAATTAATTTCAGAACTTTCGATTAAATTAATGCAAAAGTACTTTAAAATCTTTATTCCAGTAATAAATTCGGTGTTAACAATTTAAAAAAAGTATGAATTTTTAGATCAAACTCGTTTCGAGGAACCAAAATTGGAATATTTGGCTAACAATTTTTGGCTCCTTGAGGTATGTTTGATGTTATTGTAAGATCCAATCTTGATTCGTTTTATTGTTGAAGAAGCTTATTAAGATTGCATTCAGCTTATATTCAAAATATCAAAAGTAAATATTTAAATCTCCGAATTATTCCTTTTTAAAAAAAATAAAATAAAATAAAATTATTAAGTCTAATAAATAAATTCCTAATTTTCCTGCTAATATGAGATATAGATGTAATGTAATTAATTAATTAATGTTCAGGGAATTTCGAATTACGTAAATCGAGTTCGTTTATTTTTTACGAATCACGTCAAAAAAGTTGTCTTAATTTTTTTTTTCTGTCATTAAAACAAAAGGAAGCAAAATAGTTTATTACCCAGTGAAAGTCATCTGATGCTTTTGGTATTTTTAACGCCCATTAAAGACGAGTTAGGTGTGTTCATGCAGTATGTCCAAGGTCTAAAAGGCGGAACAACCATTCGTGATTTCGCTTGTCCTACTTGTCCGCATTCAAATACTTTATTCTTTATTTAATCGAGTTTAAATCGAGATACTGTATNTTAATATAAATAAAAATGTATATATTCTACTGTATCTAGATCAAAGTTTAAATACATTTTATTTTATTATGTGAAATATATTTAAATGAAGGAAATAATTTATTTATAATATATATTATATTTTTACCACTTGGAATTAAAAAGTAAAGTAATTATTTTTATTTTTGAGAAAACTTGAAGGATCCATATACTGTATATGTAAATTATTCATTTTAAAATAATTAGTTTTTGATACAAGAATATTTAATATAATGAATTTCATCACCAAATAAAGTTAAAGTTAAAAATTTACTCATTAAAAATTAAATAAGAATGAAATAATACTTTGAAATTACTTCTAAACGTTAAACCTACGCCACTCTTCGTTTCTAAACCCACATTCTTCACTTCTTGGAAATTTTCTTTTGATAATTTATTTATGAATCTGTTAACTAATCAGATTCATCTTGTCAGAAAATTAGAATAATTTCCAATATCTGTATACAATTTAAGAAGAATTGCTGCAAAATTTTCTGATGATTTTATTTATTCATTCATTATTATTAAAAGTCTAAACTTATAAACTATATATGAATAACACTAATGTCTTAAAATTTTTTTATAATTTATTATCTCTTTATTGCATAAAACTTCTGAAAATTTTGAATAATAATAAAGGAGATACAAAATGGCTTAACTCAAAGAAGAAATTATAGTTTTTCTTTGGCATTTCTTTCATAGGATGGTAATGAAAAGAATATAGACAGGAACATAAAATATGGCCGTTGTTTGGAGGTTATTTTGTTCAAAAATAAAATTTCCTGGAAAAAATAGCCGCTGTTTAGAGGTGCCATTGTTAGCAAGTTTTGCGTAATTGGAGGTTCAAATGTATTAACTAATATAAATGTAAATAAATAATATACGCCATTTTGTGTTATTCATAGTACGGTGAATGTTTATTTTTAAGAAAATAAAATCTGTATTTCGATTCGTAAGAGAAATTAATTATTACTAGATGTAAATGTGTATTAATGTAGTATTATAGTAAACAAAAATTATATTTTACTAGCGGGTGGGTGTAAAATATTTATTTATATTTAACACTTACTAGCTGGTAGAGAA